ATTCAATTTAAGTTTGTGTGGCGCCAAATCACAACAAGAGTCGTCTCAAGGCACTTCACACAGTAAACATTCCAGTACAGTTCAGGGGTCTCATTTGTCAAACATTGCATAGAATCCTTACTAAAACCGTACTTAAGCTCAGTTTACATCAAGTAGGTTTGTGATCTATCAAACATGGAGTACGCACAGCTGCACGCTATCTCCGCTTCGTAAATCAGAAACTATCTAGAAAGTTTCTCAGCTGCTTTTTAGTCACATCCCACCCTCACCACGCCCACTTTCTGCCATAAATGGTCGATGCAAAGTGCCTCGAGGACCTCATGCATATACATAAGCCGGCTTGTTGCAGCATTTAGATCATGATCGCAGATCAAGGAAGCGTTATTTCACAAGCAGAAATTCAGGTACTTGTGGGTGAGGTGGAGAAATGAAAGGCAGTGCTTTTGCAAAACAAATAAGAGAAAATCCACAGAGTGGCACAGCGCTGCTGAAGCCGTCAATGCTGAGTTCTTCAGAGTGGCGGATATAAAAAAATGATCCGATCAGGATTCAATCCCCAGACTCCCAGGTGAAAGTCACGTGTGCCAACAAGTCAGCCAAACGGAGATCTCCCTCGTCCAAGTAGCCAGGGTGCATGATCAATCGGGTCACAGTGACAGGACGCTCACACTGTCACAGACGCATGACATTCTGTCTCAATCTGTCCCCCTGCTGATTTTCTGCATTCCGTATTCTGCGCTTCAGGCTGTGTGTGTGTGTGTGTGTGTGTGTGTGTGTGTGTGTGTGTGTGTGTGTGTGTGTGTGTGTGTGTGTGTGGGTGGGGGGGGGGGTTTGTTCTGTGTGAAAACGAAGCAGTACAAGTGATAATGCTGCAGGATTTCATAATTTTATCCTTCTCAGCAGCAGCACTGCAGGTGCTCTCTATGTCCAAAATGTGCATAAGCCAGGTCCTTAGTCAACTTAAAGTTGAGCACATTTTTCCGCTAAGCTTTCTTTCATAAATTCCAAAGTTTGCGTGGAAAGTTGCTTACGCAGTTCTCCGACCCCGTTTTGTGCGTAAGCAAGCTTGATAAATGAGGCCCCAGGTCATGAAGACAATCAGTAAAAATGTTAAATAAGATGGGGAAGATTATGGCAATGGTTCGGATTGCAAAAACTGTATACCATATAAAAGTCGAAAACTATTAGTTGAATCTATTGTTCAGTTATTTGGACTAATATTACAAAAGCTAATTTAAACAACCTACTAAAATACTTTACAGCCAGCTGACATCATTTTGGGATGAGCAACAAGATTCTACTAATCATACTGCTGAAGGACGGTCTGATTATATTCAGAGGTCAGGACATCATAGAGCGATGGCGGCGTGGAATGGTTAACTACAATTCTTTATTGCGCAGAATCACGTGTGGTTTTTGTAAAAGGTTGATATTATTTATATTTATTTTACATAACATTGGAAAATGATGTGAATATTTATGATAGTTTAGTTAGTTATTTTTATTTTAGGTTTGTCTTCTCGTTGCTCAATTATTTTGTCTGTTTTGAAATCACATTGTATAGTCGTATGAATGTTGTATGTAAAGCCTATGGTTGTCTGCTGGCTTGCTCAGTGTTGATGTATTATTTATGATCATTTGATGATGCAATGGCCCCAGGAAGAATAGCAAACTTTTTAACGGTGGGAACCTTGATAAAAACCAACTCTACCACCTACTCCAGTCACTTTGAAATATTGATGTTTCATCTTCAGAATTAACACAAGCCTGAGGAATTTCTGCCATGTTGTGGAGATACTAATGCTAAAGGCTAGCTTCTACTAGCAGAGATGTGCTCTGCTGTTTCCTGGATGCTAAACCAACAACAACCTTTCAAGATGCAAATCAAGATGTGAGTCTACGAATGCTAATTTTCAGTGTGACGTAGCTCTGTGTGGCTTTTGTAACCAGAGAGTTTCCCGTCTGTTTTCTATCAGCGGCTATTGCAGGAGGTGGGGTAGTAGATTATTTTCACTTTTAGCCTGCATGTTAAACTAAGAGTGACCAAACTTATTTAAAGATTATTAGTAAAAATGGTTTCTCAGTGAACTTTGTCTTGAACAAACAGTGCTCAGGTACCTGACACACCAACAAATGATGCTCATTAGGTCTCTAGACAGGGATGGATCAACGAGAAACCAGACTCCATGCTAAGAGAGACTGGACTCTAGATCACTATGGTAACAGAAACCAGACTGGATTCTAGGTCACTATGGCAACAGAAACCAGACTCCATGGTAACAGAGACTGGACTCTAGGTCACTATGGCAACAGAAACCAGACTCCATGGTAACAGAGACTGGACTCTATGTCACTATGGTAAGAGAAACCAGACTCCATGGTAACAGGGACTGGACTCTAGGTCACTATGGTAACAGAGACTGGACTCCAATGTTAACAAAGCTAACTGAGCAGAAAAGTATCAGCATCATGAGGACATTTCACACAAACACCCTCGGAGACACAAGATTAATTAACAAACTAACTTCTGAACAAACATGGCTGAATCTGGAATCTGTCAGTGGAGTTTTAGGTTCTGTTAAACCAGACTAAAGGAACGACACCTGGACATGTTGGACTGGCTTCTGTGTCCACAATCAGGAGGACAAAGACATCCAGGAGGAGGAACTTTGTGTTTCGCACAAAAGCTTCTCCAACCCTGGAACTGGAAACTCCTACCCTTAAAACAATTTACATCTGGAGGTTCACTGGGCGACAGTGGCACAGGAGTTAAGTGCTCTCCCCGTAATCGGAAGGTTGCAGGTTCGAGCCCCGCTCAGTCTGTCGCTGTCGTTGTGTCCTTGGGCAAGACACTTAACCCACGTTGCCTGCTGGTGGTGGTCGGAGGGACCGGTGGCGCCAGTGCTCGGCAGCCTCGCCTCTGTCAGTGCACCCCAGGGCAGCTGTGGCTACATTGTAGCTCATCCCCACCAGTGTGTGAATGTGTGTGTGAACGGGTGAATGACTGATTGTGTTGTAAAGCGCCTTGGGGGGTTCCAGGACTCTAAAAAGTACTATATCAAACACCGGCCATTTACTGAGAAATCATTTTTAATTATTTCTGATGATAATGGGTCTCTGAGTTTTTCATGCAGGCTGAATGTGAAAATAGTCTCCTCTAGGATTAGAAAAGCCTGACATGTCTACGTCACACGTCACTTAACATTCATGGACATGGACTCACCCATCTTGACTCATGACGGGGAAGGCTGTTTTATTAGCTTCCAGGAAACAGCAGAGAACATCTCGACTAGTAGATGCTAACTGTTGGCATTAGCAACTCCACCACACACCAGAACTCCTCCAGGCTTGTGTTATTCGTGGAGCTACTTTCTTCTCTGGCTGAATTCTTCATGCTGAAACAGGAGCACTGCAGCTTTTCTTGCCCAGTCACTGACAAGGCATTCATTCCTATGAGGGACCACTGCAGATGTATTAAAATCATGAGTGAAGTTCGTCTTCAACAAATAAAACCAGCATCACTCAGATTTTATAAGAATCACTTTGGTTTCCAAACCTAATTTTGTGTTTCATTTCCTCTCAGATTTTGGGAAACCAGTAAATTACACAAACGTTTAAAAAAGTTGTTGTCTTTCGGACCGGTTTAGGTCAAACTGACCTGCTCACACCGAGTCCACCTTCATTAATCCTTTTGGCTCATGAGGAAGAGGCTCTTCGTTAAGAGATAATGTGTCTGACCTCGATCCTTAGAGACAGATTGTTGATTAAAACTTTAGAAAGGACCTCATGTGTGAGCGCCCCTGAAAGGCCTCGCCAGGTAATGGTCAGGTTTGTTTGTTTTATGGACTCAGCTTACCTTATATGAATTCTAAGAGCTGTCCGATGCACAACCATCCTGGAAATTCAAGGTTTGATGATAAAAATAAATGAATCTGAATGTTCCTGCGGCTGGGAAACATTTTACTGGTCTGACGTCCTCGTCTGGCTCAGAAATCAGACCGCATGTTTGAAGACGGTAGAGCTGATGGATGTCCTGCACCAGTGCATGCTAATCTCTTTAAAAGCTTTAACAGCTTTTCTCAAGTTAAAACACAATGCACTTCACACACTGCAGTGCAGGTGTGTTCTTGCACACAGCTTCTCCACATATGTTTTCAAAATAGCAGAAAAGGTGCTTTAATTCTTCACATTTATTTATTTTTAGTTTGGTTCTTTTGTGTTTGAACTTGAGCTTCAGCAAAACCTGTCAAACGTGAACAAAAGCAGCAAACCATGCCGGATTGAAGCGGCTGTAACTGCTGTGGTTTTACTGACGGATCCATTAGACGCGTCTTTGTTCGAGTATTTGTGAGTCAGGGGAGGTGAATCCTTTTTAGTCGCCACTGAGAGGCCCGACGTGGAGGAGCACACAAAGTGTCGGTGTCAGAAGTGACGCCAGGGGAGGATCAGGAGGTGTCTAAACCCGTTAACCACAGAGGGACGCGTGCCAGTGCTTTACATAAGCTGTTATGACAGCAGAGCACCGTGCATGCTGCAGAACAGAGAGCTCAATCAGCTTTCGTCACCTCACTCACCGTTTCTAACAGTAATCAGCTGAGCCGTGTCAGCTGTACAATACCTGGAATATTTAGATTTCATTTGTTACACATCTGTGGGGCAAGACGCTCCATTTAAGGCAGAAAAGAGAAAATAAATAAGATAAAACAAAGTCATTTAAGTGGAATGGAAATGGGAGTCTGAGAGGAGGACAAATTAAAGTGAGGCCAAAAAGAGTTTAAAAAATACAGATAAGTGGGAAAAACATTAGTTGAAAAAAGTAAAGAAGTGGAACCACAACGTGAAAGTATCTATATATATATATATATATATAAAAAGCTAAATACAAGAAAGGTTACAACGCCTACTTTAGGATGCGCTTAGGAAAATGCCTAAACATTGGATTGCCATGACCTGGATGACTGAGAACCTTCACCAGCAAAACAGTTACCAGACAGCTGGGACGTAATTTTGGGGGGGGACGGGTGGGACATGTCCCCCCCACTTTTTCAAAAGGCAGTTTCGGTCCCCTTCACTTTTTTCCGTCAAAAAACAATGTTACGCTCCATTAAATGGATTTGGTTGAGCACTAGGACCGAAACGGAAACCGGTTTCCTATTAGACCCACCCAAAAGCTAATCTATTGGCTCTGCTGATACTTGCTAACGTATTATTGGCTGTTGCTGCTGTCACTCCAAGTAGTAAACAGAACGTGCTCACGTTGTTTTGCTAGTTTGGAGCCGCTAGGGAACACCGGTACTGAGTCACATCGTCAACTAGACGCTGTGTAATATCAGAGCTCAGCTCAGCTTCCATTACACAACATTTGAATAAGTGTTCATTTGTGAGTGTTTGGTAGTTATGCACAGCCAGGCGGCAGCATGTCAAGAAACAAAAGTGGATATAAGAGACTTCTTTCAAAGTCAAAACGTAAGTTGGAACATGTGACACCCCTGCATTAAGCTCAGACTCACCTCCTCCTTCACAAACATACTCAAAACTAACTTTTACAAACTCATCTCCTCCACATAACTGACTCCTCAGACACAATTTATTCGTATTATTATAATTATTATGTTTTTATTATTACTATTATCATCATAATTATTATTACTAGTAGTAGTAGTAGTAGAAGTGTAACTTCAAAACTTTTATCATTTAACTTTATTGTAAACTTATCTATTGCAATGCATATTTTCACATTAAAAAGCTCTGAAAAATGAACAGTATCATCGTCAACAGATTTTTTTAAGCTTAATGTCAAAGATGTACACTTTTCATTAGATTTATCTTATTTTTTCCATTTATTTTTTGTGTGTTGAAATGCAACAACTGTTTAAACACTTTTAAGGGAAAAAACATATTTAATATGTTTTTATACACTCAAATTGGTAATGAATAATTTACACATTATATTAATAATAATTGTGAATCATACTAGAACCATCCTGTAAATATTTCTGTTTGTTCCATTCCAAAATCTCCCACTGTTTATAGTTCATGCATCTTTTTTTCAGGTGACCGACAGAGATGCAGGAGGAGAGACCGGTGAAGGTACAGCAGGAGAGGCTGTAGGAGATGGAGGACGAGAGCCTGGAGGAGATGGAGCAGAGGCTGGAGGCTCACAGGTGAGGTTGAAATAATGAAGATACGATAGACATAAAATTGATCATTGTGACAAATGTTAGGGTGATGATCATGTGTAAAACATTAGTTCAGCATGTCCTCTAACACAGCAAATGAAATAACGGCCAGATCTCAGGAGGGACCGTTTATGTATAAATACTTTTTATACTTTTGACTAGGCCTGGGAAAGTAACAAATTTTGCTGGATGATATTTTGTCCAAAAAAATTGTTGATGATAAACAATATCATTGTCAACATTATCTAGACCAAAATAACCACTAATATAATGTTAATATGTCATAATAATGCAAGTACACCCTTTAAAATGCAACAAATAAACCTTCATTTAACATTGAAATGTCCAGAACCAGAACTTCTAAATGAATAAAAATAACAAACAAAAATTAAATAAAAAAAAGAATCTCACTCCCTGTTAGAAAATGTTGCACCAAAAACAATAAAAAAAGACCCAAAACAATAAATACAATGGCCTATCCATTGTCAACAGCCAAAACTGCACTTCAATAATGATAATAAATATTAATGATAATAGAGTTGTACATTTTTTAACTTTGATATATATATATATATATATATATATATATATATATATATATATATATATATATATATATATATATATATTGAGGATGGAAAAATTATTGAGATGGGCATGTGACGTGTCAAAGGGTCTTTACATAACACCCCCACCCCAAATCCGCACAAGCCGGGTGTGTCCCCCCCACTTCTGAAATCAAAATTTCGTACCTGCCAGACAGCATCAACAGAGGTTACACTAAAACTCAAGTGATGCTAATACCTTAGTTACAGTCGTGGCCAAAAGTGTTGAGAATGACACAAATATGGGAAATTTGAAAAGTTGCTGCTTAAGCTTTTATAGTAGCAGTTTGCATATACTACAGAATGATATGAAGAGTGATCAGATGAATTGCAGTCCTTCTTTGCCATGGAAATTAACTTAATCCCTAAAAACCTTTCCACTGCATTTTATTGCTGTCATTAAAGAACCTGCTGAGATCAATTCAGTAATCGTCTTGTTAACTCAGGTGAGAATGTTGATCAGCACAAGGCTGGAGATCCTTATGTCAGGCTGACTGGGTTAGAATGGCAGACTTGACATGTTAAAACGAGGGTGATTCTTGAAGTCATTGTTCTTCCAATGGTAACCACTGGGTTAAAGATAGGAGTGCAGCCCACATTGCGTTACATAAAAATGGCTTCACAGGCAAAGATAATGTGGCTACTAAGGTTGCACCTAAATTTATAGGATCATCAAGAACTTCAAAGAAAGAGGTTCAGTTCTTAAGAGGGCTTCAGGGCGTCCAAGAAAGTCCAGCAAAGATAGTCTCCTAACGAGGATTCAGCTGCGGGATCAGAGTGCCACCAGTTTTTAAGCTTGCTCTGGAATGGCAGCAGTTAGATGTGGGCATATCTGCACGCACAGTGAGAGGGAGACTTTTGGAAGATGGCCTGGTGTCAAGAAGGGCAGGAAAGAAGCCACTCTCACAAAGAAAAACATCAGGGACAGACTGATCTTCTGCAAAACGTATGGCGAGTGGACTGCTGAGGAATGGGGCAAAGGCATATTCTCTGACAAAGCCCCTTTCCGATTGTTTGGGGCATCTGGAAAAAGACTTGTCCATAGACAAAAAGGTGAGCGCTACCATCAGTCCTGTGTCATGCCAACAGTAAAGGTTGGTTTATGCTTGACGCGTCTGCGAGGTCCGCACGGCTCCGCGCGGAAAAGTTGCGTCATTTTAACAACCACACCCCTCCAACGCGCCTCCATATGGCCCAGAATTTCCGCAACGTGCACCTCGGAAAATTTCTAACCATGCGGACGGACGGACGGACGCGGAAAAAACATGGCGGACCGGCAAGAACTAGTATAGCAGAGGTTCGTAAATACAGACATTTGTATGATTCAGCTCTCAGAGATCACCGTGATCAACATGTTGTTAATAATTCTTGGAGAGAAATAGCTCGCACTATCGGAAAAGATGAGAACGCTGTTAAAAATGCTGAAATGCCATGTTGTAAACAGTAATTTCTACTTCTTCTATGGTGTAGTGTTGGGTGCATGCCGTAGAACTCCATGCTGCCCCGTTCAGTTTGAGAGAATATTGGCTCACCGCAGAGACGAGCCGCACGAACCATAAACGCTGAGAGTTGTGAAGCGCATTCCATCCACGAGCTGCATCACCGCGCGGAAAGTGAATGCGTCAAGCATAAACCAAGCTTTAATCATCCTGAGACCATTCATGTGTGAGGTTGCTTCTCATCCAAGGGAGTGGGCTCACTCACAAGTTTGCCCAAAAACAGCCATGAATAAAGAATGGTACCAAAACACACCGACAGCAACTTCTTCCAATAATCCAACAACTGTTTGGTGAAGAACAATGCATTTTCCTGCACAACTGAGCACCGTGCCATCAGGCAAAAGTGATAACTCAGTGGCTCGGAAACCAAAACGTTGAAATTTTGGGTCCATGGCCTGGAAACTCTCTAGATCTTAATCCCATTGAGGCCATGTTGTCAATCCGCAAGAGGCGGGTGGGCAAACAAAAACCCACTAATTCTGACCAACTCCAAGAAGTGGTTATCTGATATCAGTCAGGATTTGGCCTAGGAGTTGACTGAGAGCATGCCCAGTCGAATTGAAGAGGTCCTGAAAAAGAAGGGCCAACACTGCAAATCTGACTCTTTGCATAAATGTCATGTAATTGTTGAAACTTCTGGCCACGACTGTACACCCAAAATGTAATTTTTGACACGTTTTTGCTGTCTTACTTTTGTTAATTAGGTTTATTAGCAATGCTTCATAAAACGGTCTGGGATATTTAGAGTGAAAAAGGTTCTTTACAGGTATTTATTAGCTCTAAAGGTGAAAAGTTTGGGAACCACTTGATTTAAACATTTTAACCACATTAATTAAATCCATCTTAAATTCCAAGAGGGGGTTGAAAAGAAATATTGAGGAGCTGGTTGTGTCTAAATGATCTGTGGATGTTTTGGTTTGTCCTTTAAAGCATCTGGGACATCATCCTGGTCACATACAGAGGACAGCGGCAGAGCCAGAAAGGAATTTAGAGGAAGGCGATCCTTCAACTGGATTATCATCCACACTAATGCTAATCCCGCTCTCACACACCAACCTATAAGCTTTGCAATACCTCCAGTCCACGACGGGAGATTTCCTTCATCATTCAGCAACCTGTCCTATTAAAAACCACAAATTAAGTCCCAACAGCTCAAAAAATAACCTACATAAATCAGCTGCTATGAGAAAAACCAAAACCAGAATTCTAGTACAGAAACAAATGATTCAATGAAATCGTATTTTATACTAAAGGCTCATTTTGAAAACCATTAAAAACAGCCAAGACCATTAAGGCCATAAATAAGTGAGCCGCTGATCCAGAATTTCAAAGATGAGCATTTTCTGCTAAAATGTCACAATTTGTCAAGAACAGGGTCTAGATGACCAGCCAGCCCCATGCTTCCTTATGGGGACTCCATGATGGAGTCCCCCGAATAAACACAGAAAACATTTATCTAATGATGCTATAAATCAATAAAAAAGAATGTTCGACCACAGCAGGAGTCAGGCAAGAGTCAGCATTGGTCAATATCCGTTCTCCTCGCAGTGTCCTAGAGAAAAAACAAATCGGACCGACTAGCAGAGGCTTCAGAAGCTATCTCTGACTGATGACACATTGTTTTGCCATAATGCTAACGCAGAAACCCCAGAATCAGGGATTGTTTTCTATAGTTGTTTATGCAGAGTTCCTTATGAAACGTCACCAGCTGCCCAGGGCTTACACCGGAAGTAAGTTTCTGTTTTTCCCGTGCCGGTCAGAAACATCCGATTTTCTTTAATTCCAGCCATGAAAATCCAAAAACCTTTTTCATCTGAGGTTTTAATACTTCTTTACACATGCCATTCAAAGGAATTTAGCTTCTGGCCAATATCTTTAAAGCGAGCCTAAACGTACTTGGTGTGTCTTTGGAATAAGTCTTCTACCAAAATGGACTAACTTTGCTGCTTGAAAAGTAGAGAAAAGCTTCTACGGGAGCCTGGATGTCCAAATAAGAATGCATCATGCATAAAACATTTCAGGAGCATCAATGCTTTGAAAATCATCTGAGTGCTGTACAGCAGAGGGGCAATTATACTCAGGGAGTCTTTTTGATGCACACTTGATGCAGCCAGTGTGTTTTGGCTTCTTTCTGCCATTTTTGTTGAGTTTAGTCACAAGTGTGTGTTCTTGAAAAGGCTGAACATAATCAAAGCATGCTTGCAAAAGTTGACTAAATTAATTCAATCAAAACATTTGTTTTTCTTGTCATTTTGTAACGATCTGAAATTGTCATGACAATATGGAGCTAAGCACTCCACTGCTCCTCTCACTTTTTTTTCTTCTTGATTGTAAATCTGCTGCACCTGTGCGCAGCTGGCTGCCGCACCCTAAACAGGAAAAAAAATAGAAAGTGCCTTCAAGCTCCACAGACTTTCGGACAATTCAGCTAAATAAACTGCATCTGTGAAATTGCTCAAACCTGATTTTCCTCTGGACTACTACCTCCATTCATTTCATTTTTTTGGTCAGACAACTTAATGTAAGGGTGTATGTCTAGTAACATATTTCCTTGTGTAACGGGAGATTGTATTTTCATTCACCATTGCAACTTGTACGACTGTTTTTTTTGTTATTTTATCCCATGTGTCAGGAGGGAGACCTGACTGGCGCCCAACAACCATATCCATCTATTTAGTCAATAAAGCAAAACCTGAAAACCGTTGCAATTTGTAGCAAAAATCCTAAGTGAAAAATTTTTTTCTACAGAATGATGGAAAACCTGGAAATGTAATATTATTTTATGAGTTTTTTCGGCACTGGTTTATTTTTCATTAAGCAACTTCATCAGTAAACTTCCAGCATTTTTAATAAAAACCACATTTATTTTAGAAGCAAAACT